CTACCAAAACATTGCCACACAAACCCAATACAGTTATAAAACATACACAAAAATAAAAATTGAAAAAGGATGAAAGGTTAAACAAGCACTGTTTTTAAATTTTTAAAATCTTATTTATTAATGGTACCAAACCCATTTTCTTCATGCACCCCAATGGATTGTCTTGCACACCACACTTTGGAGAATTCTTTTCTGAGGTCTCCTTTACTGTAGTTTAAATAAATTTTCCAGTCATCCAGTAGTAACTCTTTTTCTCCATATTTTTTGTTAATGTTTGTGCTGATGTTTACACTTTTAGAAAACAGGGCATAATACAAGGGCAAAACCTTTAGACTACATCCATGTTGTGATTATGGTCTTGGCTTGACCCCAGGTCTTTGGCCCTCAATGGCCTGTTGCTCTTCCAGACTTAGTCTTACTGGAAGAGGATGGCTCAGAGATGAGGACTGGGAGGGGAAAGCGCTTAGTTGTTGCCTTTAACTTACCATTAAAAGATGAAGTACTTGTACGTAATATTAAAAAAGGCTATAAAGTAGGTTTATTTTGAAGTTGAGGATCAAGGTAAATCTTCAGCTCTGCTCTAAGCAGTAAGGTCAGCTTCTGCCTAAACTTCCTTTAGTTCTTCGTTTTTACATTTCCTTATGTGTATAATATGTGTTAGTAAACGATGTTTTTTCTTTCCAAGGATTATTATGGAATTACATTCCCTGCTCCTGCAACTTTGACAGGCAGAGATGGGAGCCTTGCTAACAACCCGTACTCAGGTGAGTGCTGTTTAAAGATGAGGATGGTTAAGTGAGATGTGCTGATTCGTAAATGCAGGTCATCCTGCCTTTGCTGAAAGAGCAGTTGTTTTTCCCTTCTGTAAGCAGTTAAACCTATCAGTCCAAACTGGTCAAACAAAAGCAAGCATCTCCCTCTCAATCCTGACATTGATGTTTCTTCATGGTTTTGGTCAGTAATTGATATGTGACATCCTCTGGGACTAAGTTGGATAGCCTTTGAGTATAAGTGCAAAATTATTACAAATGTAAACAGCAGTGTCATCTAGTGCCCTTCCCAAGCACATATAGGTGCTTGAAAAATATTCCGTAGCTTAATCATTCTTCTTGAAATTCAGCTGGCTTGCTTTTCTTTTTTGGCACTGAAGTAGACACCCCCCCCTCAGCAGCTCTCCATACTTTGTTACTGCTATTATAGCACTTGTATGTTCCCAGCAGGAGCTGCATCTAGCAGGCTCTCCCCCACCCTCCCCAAATCTAATGGATTTCATTCCCAAAAGCATGTGGCCTAAGAAGCCTTTCCTCATTCCTGCTCTTGTTCTTCAGTTATCATCATGCAAAGATGACATTAATGCCATCCAGGATTTTCAGCCAGTGGTTTTCATCCATTGCCATCTGATTACAGCTTAAAACTGTAGACATAGGCATTATAATTCCTATAATGATGGTATTGAGTGTTGTCATACTTCTTGTAACAAAAGGGAATACTGACTGGGAATGAGATAGATGTGATTGATGTATGTCACCTCCCTAAAAACACGTGAACCTGCTGCTCTGTAGGCTGCCAGAAAATGCAAGTGTTCGGGAGTTTTCTGCTTCGTAATCACTTCTCTGGGGAGGCTGCTTTTGGGTTAATAACCGAATTTCCCTTCCTACTTCTTCAATAAGGTGGCCCGCGATGCAAGCCTTGCTTTCCTGGCCTTCAGCTACTGTCTCCAGAACTTTGGTGGTGTGAGGAACCGGACATCTAACTAGTCATGCTTGACAAATAAACAGACATTGACAAAAATATGCCCATCACTGCCTGTAAATCCTAACTTGCTTTCAGCCCATGAAGCTTAGCTAATCAGTTTAACCTCTAGGAGAGTCACACTTTAACCAACAACCATTTGCTCTTTGGCTATTTACCATACTTCTGCTTTTAGCATGTTTTATTGCAATGATCTGATAGTAATGAATCTTCTCAGACCATGTGAGATAGGTAAGTATTGGTATCTCCATTTTTTCAATGGATTAGCCATGGCATGGAGTTCTGTGCCATGAACAGGCAATGTCCCTGTGGCTGTCAGGAACAGAGACCGGGAGAGTGCTTCCCATGAACAACTGCAGGCTTTCAAGTGTAGGATGTGCTCTATTCTGTAGCTCTTTACTTGTATTCAGAGGATTTGAATCCTTTGAGTCCTCCACTTTTGGAGTAGCTTTGATAGCTTTTCTGATCAGTTCTTTCTTCAGCAGGTGACGTTACAAAATTTGGCCGCGGGGATTCTGCCTCCCCTGCTCCTGCTACCACGCTTGCCCAGCCGCAGCAGAACCAGACGCAGACTCACCATACAACTCAGCAGCCCTTCCTCAACCCGACCCTGCCCCCGGGGTACAGCTACACTGGGTTACCTTATTACGCTGGTGTGCCCGGCGTACCCAGTGCATTCCAGTATGGGCCAACCATGTTTGTAAGTGTGACAGCCTAAACTCTAACCCTCCCTTTGTGCCTCTCTGGTTTTGCTCTCTCCAGCCCAAACCTTCTGCATCTTGGAATTATAGAATGGTTTGGCTTGGAAGGGACCTTCAAAGATCATCTAGTGCAAACCCCCCTGTCTTGGGCAGGAACGTCTTCCATTAGACCAGATTGCTCAAAGCAGCATCCAACCTGGCCTTGAACACTTCCAATAATGGGACACCCACGACTTCTCTGGGCAATCTGTTCCACCCTTGTCTTAAAAAATTTCTTCCTTATATCCAATCTAAACCTACCCTCTTGCAATTTAAAACAATTGCCCTTTGTCCTATCACTACAGGGCCTGGTAAAAAGTCTGTTCCCCATCTTTCTCCTAAGCCTCCTTTAAGTATTGAAAGGCTGCAATAAGGTCTCCCTAGAGCCTTCTCTTCTCCAGGCTGAACAGCCCCAACTCTCTCAGCTTTTCCATAGGAGAGATATTCCAGGCCTCAGATAATTTTTGTCACCCTCCTCTGGACCTGCTCCAACAGGTCTATGTCAGTCTCATACTGGGGACCCCAGAGCTGGATCTAATACTCAGGTGGTATCTCATGAGAACAGAGTAGAGTCATCTTCCCCAGTCTGCAAGGGACCTCCAAAAACATGCAAGCATGAGAAAATAGCTGCAGTCCTTTCCCCAAGAAAACAGGAAATTTAAAAGACTAGAACTCATGGACTCCCGCGCAGGTTACTGTAAATACCAGACAGCTACAGCTCATGGACTCACTGTTTCTGTAAGTCCTTGTCAGTCTCTGGAGAGTCAAGGGGAGACCCAAAGCTGAGTCAGCAAGCTGAGAGTGCCTAGGAAGTCCTTTCAAGGACTGAGGAGACCTGGTTAAGTCAGAGAGCAGTGCTGGTAGTCTCAGGAGAAGAAGGTTATTTGGGAGGAGGTGATGCTCCAGGCAGAAGGGTAGATGAGTCTATTTTAGGGCCTTGTAGAACAGTATTTTATGAAACAACCTGAGGCAGAAATTGATGTTTCATTTGATTCTGGAGTGAGCGCACTGTGGTTGCTCCTTCTTGGGTTTGTGGGTAAGAATTTGGTGTTTTAAGCCAGTGTATGAAAGAAATACACAGCCTGTTCTGAGAGAGGTTTGCACTGCAATTAGAGGGGCGGGTGGCTCTAGTAGAAAACCTGGGGCTTGCACAAATCCACTACAGCAAGTTACTGCTGGAAGCATGAGTGCCATGTCCCATGCCACGCCAGTGCTCCCAACTCCAGATTAAATTTCCCACATGAGGTGGAGGTGCCTTCCCCGCTAGATGGCAGAGGAAGGTTGTGTTTTCCATGCCATTCCCTAGTTAACAGCGCCTTTTGTTTGTTCCCTTCCTTTGTCCAGGTACCTCCAGCATCTGCTAAACAGCATGGAGTCAACCTGAACACAGCATCGACTCCTTTCCAGCAAGCAAGTGGCTATGGGCAGCACGGCTATGGAGCAGGTATGCTTACTACTGCGCTTTTCATGTGAGCGTCTGCAGAGCTGCTTGCACACTGTAACACCTTATCTTGTACACACCGGCAGGCTATGATGACTTAACGCAGGGAACGGCAGCTGGAGATTACAGCAAAGGAGGCTACAGTGGGTCATCTCAAGCACAAAACAAATCTGCTGGCACTGGACCTGGGAAAGGTAACACATGAGACTTGAGGTTGCTCTTGAGTGGGATTTAGTAGGGCAAACTCCCAGTGCTGTGCAGTCAGTCCAGCAGCCAGCTCTAAACAGGGTCACGATCCAAGCTGTTTCTCCATCTCCCGTATACAAAATGCTTTTTTAATGGCCCAGGTGTTCCTTCTAAACCTTATGGCTGAACTTTGCGTAAGGATTTGTGTGGCTGATGTGCAGCTTTGTCCACAATTATACATGGGAGAAATGGTGAACTGTTTCCTCTGCCGAAGTTTTCTTTGCTGAAGTATAGTGGTCCTGCAGCAGTGCTGTGTTTTTGAAGCCTAAGCAGTTGGATGCTGCTGCTGAAATGGTCCTCTGCCAAATGATGACTAGATTTTGAGTTTCTAGGTAGGCACCTAAGATAGCTGTGTTTTAGGGGTGAGCAGGGCAGTTCACACATCTCTGGGCTGTTGTTTCAGCTGCTGTCTGTACACCCTGTAATTCATTGCATTGTTTCATGCCTGGAAATGTTTCCTTTGTGACTGTAAAGGCTGAAGAATTTATACAGCTTATATGGAAGCTTTATTCTGCACATGCTGGTTAGACCTGAGAAATGTATACTGAATTGCTTAGCACTAACTAGCTCATCCTTGGTCTTAAGCAAATACCCAGCATTTGCTGTGCATTTGAAATACCAACTGGACTGTCTTCAGCCAAGAGCTGATCACACTGTCCTCTGTGGGGAGCAGTGTCCTAGGAAAGGTACAAGCTTAGAGCAGTGCACACTGTCTGAGTCCACTCCTGATTCACTGGCCAAAGAAACTGCTGGTTTTATTCTGATCCAAGTAAAATGATTAGAGACAGTCTTTATAAGACTGAATTAAGTGGCTGGTTTGAGAGCCACCTCGCTGGTGAGTTACTGTTTCTGAGCCTGTTATGGCACCAGCTGGTCCTGGTGGAAGCCACCCTGAATGAGTGATATTAATTCTCTCAGGGCAGAGGAGCACTGCAGATCTCACCCTTCTGCAGGATGTGAAAGGACAAGGGCTCAAATGTGTAGCAGACGCTGAGTCTTATTGCTCAGTGCACTGCTGGAAAGCTCTTGAATGCTGCAATAGAGCCAAACACATCCCTAATCCTAGGGGGGATCTGGCTTTTCACAAGCTTAAATGAGTGTTCGGTGCAGCCAGCTGCTGCCTGGTGAAGTGCGTTTGAATCCAAGAGGTGACCACTGGGTCATGGACATGGGTCACAGTGGGCTGGTTTCCTACTTTACAGTGGGAGCAAGGAACTGAACCCTTTCTTCTGTTCCCATGTGGGGTGCCATGGGTCTGAGAGCATGAAGAAACCTGCCGGGCTGTCCGGCAGCAGCAGCAGGGCATGTGGTGCAGTGGCTGCAGACAAAGGTGCATCCACTGAGGCTGCTGGAGGTGCCAGGAGCAAAGCATGGGGCTCATGCTGGGTGGTCATTGACTTTCTCATTGTTGGTGGTTTTTTTTTCTTTTCCAGGTGTTTCTGTGACCTCAAGTAACACAGGTGTGCCTGATATCAGTGGCTCAGTCTATAACAAGACTCAGGTGAGCAGTGCTGGACCCTCCTCCCTCATGGCCTGAGGCCAGGCCAATGGCTCCCCTTCTGTTCCCAGGCTGGTCGGTCTCAGAGTTGGCAGGCCATGGCATTTCTTACGCTGGATCTGTTTGCCGTCGGAGTGGAGTCTTGCCCTCAGTCCCACTGTTTCTGCCATGTCAGCTCCTGATGGCAGATGCTGGCATAGGTGCAGCGCTCTATGCAGCCTCACGCTGCCCCATGCAAGCTGTGTCCTGGGTGCAATTGAAATGTGTTCGTGCTAATGTTTTTAGTCAAAATAGCCCCCAAAGCAGCTGAGTCGAGAGGCTGTTTGCTTTTCACCAGAGAGACCAGTCAATAGTGCCTACCCCTAACACCCGAGGGTCCCTGTCCCATGGTCTCCTGTGGCCATTGCTCAGCATACAGCTTCCCGGAGAAAGCAGAAAGAGCTTTGACAAGCTGTGGTGTGCAGTGGGCTTATGTCCGGCTCCTGATTTCTGCTGCTTGCACCCTCATCTGGGGGAATCAGTGTCTGGCTGTGATCCATGCTTACAAGTAGGAAGTCAGCTCTCAGGTACATGCTTAGCATTAGGGGTCAAGCTTTGGCCAGGAGGAGGAAAATCTTACCGCAAGTTCTTCTTGCATTTTTGTCAGGCTGCTCTGGGTAGGTCAAGTAATCCAGGCTGAGCCCCTGCAATGTGTGAAGGACTGATTTCAGGCAGCTGCTGCCATCCCATGTCTCACTGAGAAAAAAGAGGTCGGGGAAAAAAAGGAGTGCAGTAGCCATGGAAATAAAATAAAATGTCAGAGGCATTAGTGCAGAAATCTGGGTGAGAACATGAGCTGAAACTCATCTGCTGAAGTGCTTGTAGGTATTCAATGTGACTTGGCTTGCTCATGGGGCTGGTGAAAGGTTCAGGTGATGTGTGTCTGGGCCACTATTGTTCTTGTCTGGTCACTGTGGGGCTGCTCACACCAGTCTCTGATGCTGTCCCCCTCGCCTCCCGTGCAGACGTTTGACAAGCAGGGATTCCATGCTGGCACGCCACCTCCTTTCAGCCTGCCCTCTGCTCTTGGATCGACCGGGCCCCTGAACCCTGGTGCTGCCCCAGGTTATGCTCCAGCCCCATTTCTCCATATCCTGCCTGCGCATCAGCAGCCTCATTCCCAGATGCTGCATCACCATCTTCAGCAAGATGGGCAGGTGAGTCGGCCACTTCTGCCTTTACAGTGTGGCTGAGGACAGATTGCTCCCCTTCACATGCCAGCAGGGTCTTGGGGGTTTTTGCTTCCTTCTCATTTTTGCTTTGCTCAGTGGGGAAGAGCCTTGACAATGGTTGCAGACTAACAGACTTGGTGCTGTTGAGCAGTTTGAGGAGGGAACCTCATGAAGTTCAGCAAGGGGAAGTGCAAAGTCCTGCCCCTGGGGAGGAACAACCCCATGCACTAGTATATGCTGGGGGCCAAAGTAGCTTTTCAGAAAAGGCCCTGGGGGTCCTGGTGGACACCAAGTTGATCACAAGCCAACAATGTGCCCTTGCCACAAATGCCAACGGGATCCTGGGTTGCATTACAGAAAGTACTGCCAGCAGGTCAAGGGAGGAGATCCTTCCCCTCTGCTCAGGACTGGTGAGGCCACACCTGGAGTGCTGCTGGGCTCCCCAGTACAAGAGACACACAGATGTACTGGAGAGAGTCCAACAAAGGGCCACAAGGATGATGAAGGGACTGGAGCATCTCTCCTATGAGGAAAGGCTGAGACAGCTGGGGCTGTTCAGCCTGGAGAAGAGGAGGCTCAGGGAGTGATCTTATCAATGTATATAAATACCTGAAGGGAGGGTGTAAGGAGGACGGAGCCAGGCTCTTTTCAGTGGTGTCCAGTGACAGGATGAGGGGCAATGGGTACAAACTGGAACACAGGAGGTTCCCTCTGAACACCAGGAAGCACTTTTTTACTGGGATGGTGACCAAGCACTGACACAGGTTGCCCAGGGAGGTTGTGGAGTGTCCATCTTTGGAGCTGTCTGGACATAGTCCTGGGCGACCGGCTCTAGGTGACCCTGCTTGAGCAGAGGGGTTGGACAAGATAACCTCGAGAGGTTCCTGCCAGCCTCAGCCAGCCTGTGATTCTGTGAAGAGGCCATCCTGATGTTGGGTGTGGAGAGATGGGCTGTGAGGTGTGAAGCTGAGGCAGGCGCTGCTGTCCCCTGGCTGTGGCAGGAGAGCAGGACGTGAGCACTTGTACTGTAATTTGGGGAAAAATCAAGCATCTCCTTGCAGGTTGCATGTCAGCTTTGATTTGGTTTCACCAGCCCATGCCTTTCATTTCCTCACTATAAATGTTCCCTGAAAAAACAGAGTGTTCTGCCCTAGAGTCCAGAAATAGGAAATTACTTCTGTCTCTGAATGTGTGACATCCTTGGCTGGTGCACCACCTCTGTTCGCCTTGAGAGAGCTCCTTTGCTGTCCCCAGTCCTGCTTCTCTCCTTCCTTGTGCTTGAATCTGTCTTGGGGCAGGGGGGGGATGGCGTGTTCCCGTGGTCCTGCTTGGTGTCTCTGTGGCCACTTGTCCTGGATTGCAAGACATGGAGATGTTGCAGGGCAGAAATGGATCCATTCAGGGAGGAGCATTGCTGTGTTGGTGGGTGTCAGGGCTGTCCCTGGGGGTGGCAGCTCTTCTGGTGACATTTGGATGGGCTTGTCTTCCTGGGAGCACTGGTGCTATGGCAGCTGATGCCCCTATCTCCTTTGTTTCCAATTTCTAGGGTGGATCTGGCCAACGCAACCAACCCAGCACCATGCAGCAAAAGTCTCAGGCTACCAAAACCGCCTATGGCACTTCTCCATACTGGACAAACTAAATCTGAAACCGGGGAGGGAGGAGAGAATGGAAGGAGAGGAGGAGAAAATAAAAAAATAAAATAAAATTAAAAAAAAAAAAAAAGAAACGAGAGAAAGAAAAAAAAGCGGAAGCCCATTCCTGGAATTATTAGAAGTAACTACTCAGCCAAACGTCTGTGCGGGGAGAACTGCAGCCATCCATCCATCCTCTGTGTGACTCGCCCGCTTCCTCTTTGAGTTGCTGTTGTATGTAATATATTTATGTATGTATTTGTAAATGTAATAGAGCCTAAATGTGGTTTTCTGCATCTTGCAGCCTGTTTTATTTTCTTTGTAGGAAAACTAATTATTTCTCATCTGCACCAGGGCATCCTTACTTGTTTTTTTTAAGCTCTATGGGCTTTATAACTCTGTCAAAGACAAACTGCGCCTTTTGGTTTTTTTTTGGTTTTGGGTTTTTTTTGGAGCTGGAGCCCATGTATTTTAATGCAGTTCTAAATTCAGGCAAATAAGGAGGCCTGCCCCCCCCCCCAAATGAATCAGGATGTGTCGTGTTGGTTTGATTTCTGCCCTCAGCCCCCAATATAGCTTTTATTTTAAAGAGGAAAAAAAGGAAAAGAATGTTTTGTGGGCCTTCCCCTTTCTTTTGTCTCACCCCTCCCTCCTGCTGTGGAAGATGAACTCTCGTGGGCAGTTTGGTCACTGTGGCCCTGAGCTGCAGCCTCACCTTTTTATTTTTCAAATTTTGAATAAAAAAAAAAAAAGACAGGGTTTTCTTTTATGTTTGGTGGTTTATTTTTGTTTCTCTAGCAAGAGACTTTGGATCGCTCAGTGTGTCCTGGAACCTCCTTTGCATCATTAGAGGCAAAAACTATGTAGCGATTTCTTAAATAAAAGTATAAGCTGTGTCTTGTACCTCTTTTTGCCCAGGAAAGCCAGAGCTACTGGATGAAAACTTCACCTGTCCCTCCCCCCCTTTTTTAAAACAAGACCCTGGAGGCAACTCCTGGTCCTTCTTGTCCTGCACCAGTGCAGTGATTGTTTAGGAGTTTCATTTCTTTTTAGCCCTTCCTTCACCTAATAAAGATCTGAGCGTATCACTGGTGTTTGTCTGCATTTTCAAAGGCTCCAGGAGCAGTTTTGCTTTTACAGCCTGTCCCTTTCCACCTGCTCCTGCAAGAAAAGCTGAGCTGGGAGGGTAAGAGCAGCAGATGGGTTTGCAGGGGATGCCATGTACCATGACAAAGCTGAGTGCACCTTGGTGTTGAGAGCTCACAGGCACCTGCAGCAGGGGTGGGATCCTGGGCAGCACCCTTGGCTCCTGCCATAAGCATCATGTCTCTGCCTTTGGTGTCCTCTGGCATTGTGATCTGTGTGAGTCCCTGTGGAGCAGCGGGGATAGGTAAGGAGGGAGGACAGCTGCAGCACTGCCTGCCCTTGCTTTACCTGTGAGGTCCATGGCCTCCACCAGGAGGGTGGTCGGTGGTGAGGGCTCCTGAGGGACAGCTCCTGCCCTGGGCTCATCCTCCTGAACATCATGGCCCTGTGCAGCAGAGGAGGTGGGTAAATGTGAAGCCATGTGTCCATGGGGCAGGTGAGGGGCTTTTTTGTACTTCATAATTCTGTTTCAAGACCCAGAAGAAAAAAAATAATCCTTCTACCCTGAGAACCACTTTTCTTTCTTAGAGTCACACTTTCACCTGTTCTCAGGTCCTGCAAGACCCAGCTGGCTTGAAAGAAGTCAATGTGTCACCTGATCCTCCCCCTGCCTCTGAGCAGCACAACATGAGCTGCACTGGCATTCCTTTGCCCCAGCTCAAGTTTTGATACTGGGTGAACTTCAGCAGCTGCTGCAAGCCCTTGGCAGCTGCTGTCCCACTGCTTTGGGGCCTGAATGTCAAGGAGGGCAAAAATGTTTCTGCAGGCTGGGGGCTTGCTGTCAGCTTGTACAAGGGCTGCACCAGCAGCTGAGCCCACAGGCCTTACAGCAACAGCACCTCATCTACCTGCTGTCAGAGCTGCTGCCTCACAGGAGCTATTCTTGAAAAACAAAATTCTCCCACAGCTGTCTTCACACACTTAAGTTTCTTGATTATAGAAACCCACTGCTGCCCTCCCAGGTGTGGGTCAGTCCTTGCTGAAGCAGTTGGAACTGGCAAAAGGCAACATGAGAAGCTGGTGCCAGTGCACAGCAGCCCCCTGAGCCTTAGCTTTGTTGCAGGGCAGCTGCAAGGGAGACTCCCTTGCAAGGACTTCAGCCAGTGCTTCTTCACAGCTGCACAACTTCCATCCTCAACTGTGGCTGTGGGCATGGAAGGGCAGTGCTTCCAGGCCTGGAGGGGATGGGCTGTGTTGCCATCTGGCACCTTCCTCTTCCCCAGCACAAGGCAGAACATGCAACTCTAGCACCTTCCCAACTGCTCTAGTGTCCTGCCTGCAATCAGCCTTCTCTGCTCTCCAGGCAGCACTCAACAGGTTGTTTTCCCAGTTCCTTACACTGTTGGTTCCAGCAGGGCTTTTCTGCAGCCACTTCCTCTCTAAGCCCCCTGGTCCACAGTCTGATGGTAGAGCCAAGGCTGCTCAGCTGCACAGGTAAAAAAAAAAAAAAACCATGCACAAGTGGCAGGCAGGTTTACCCAAGGCAGGGCAGGCCAGAGAGTTTCCCCCACCTTTGGTACCACACCTTCTGCTGGATGAAGGTGGTGGTGGCACCTCTGGTCAGCCAGGTGGTGCAGGAGCCAGGCAGGAGGTACAAGCAAGCCCACTCCAAGTCAGAAGGCCCAGACACCACCCTTCCTCTCAGTCCCATTCCCCAATATGGAGATTCCTCTGGGAATGCAGCTCTGAAATGCCATCACCATTCCTCCAGCACAGCTGTGAAGTTAAAGCACTCAGGCCACAACAACATTGGGCCCAGCTGCTGTGCTGCAAATGATGCCAAGTGCAGCAAGTGCAACTCCTGTACCCTTGTCCTGCTAATTTTAGCTTGACTGCAGCAGCAAGGCACTGCAACAAGAAACTTCTCCACTCTTGAGCTTGCAAGAACACCATGGACCAGGCAGGGCAAGCACCCTGAAGGGCTGGCAGTGATGACCTCAATTCCTCTGCCAGCCAGCCTTCTGCATGAGGTCAAAGCCCCCTGCCCCAGCAGGCAAGCTCCCCCATGGCCTTGTCTGACCACTTCAGGAGTGCTGTGCTCCTGCCCTGCCAGGGAACTGGCCACCAGCAGCACCCCATCCCCCAAGTCCAGTGTCCCTGCTGCAGTCATACAGGACCATGAACCATCTTCCCACTGGTCTCCCCCTTCCTGACTTGGGAAGGCTAAATGTAACAGCAAAGGCCATGGCCTTGTGCCAAAGAACTTCTCTAAATCAGTTTGTTCTTTAGTCTTCAGGTCAGGCAGGCAGCTCTCAAACAGCAGCTTTATTTTCCAATAACCTTATAGATATTTATGTATATGTATGGGCACTGATACTGGTGTGGCACTGAACTTCTGAATAGCTGTTATTCAAAGCTTTAAGTAACCCATGCAAATGAACCAGCTCAATTAACAGGGAAGTAACAGTCCAGGGATGTTTTCATTTCACATTTTTATTAGTAGACAGATGTGCAGAAAAGACAAAATATAACTAACTACTGAAGGAGAAGACAACACAAAAATGCATCAGTTAATTCTTTCTGGTAAATTATACTGGAGAAAAAAAGGAAAACATCTGGGATTTCAGCTAGGAAAACTACTAAGAAATCTAGTGTACCCTGCTGGCTTCAGAATGGTTGAAAACTGCATTTGAAGGGACTTGTAATTGCAAATGTAAACGCTAATATTGGCCAAGACAAGAGAAAAGGGTTAAGAAAAAACCCAGAATACACAGATCAGGTAAACATTTTTTCAGCAATCTCTTAAATAGTTTCAAAAAACTCTTATATTTCAGTTTGTATCTCAAAAGGAAACCAGCAAGTCAACAAGCAATGACACTGCACAGGACAGTGGGGAAGAGAAATTAGTCTGGCTAATGTAGGAGCTCTCAAAATAGGTTGCTTTTTGTCATTAAAAAAGGGTAACAGAAGAGTCATGATAATGCATCTTACAACACTAAGCTTGAAAATACAAGTCACTGGAGAGTATACAGTGAAGACGGTCAAAAGTACAAGGAAAATCCTGAAAGATGCAGTATCCTCAATTCAAACCAAGTCATCAGCACAGCCAGCATTGCCATAGTCTGCTCCTTCATACCCCCAGCAGCCCCCAAAAAGCTTTAAGTTGGTGGCCCTATCCCAGTGGGGCCCCAAGACCAGTCCTGCAGCCAGGAGGCCCACAGACCCATTTGCCAACACCGGTGCTACCCTCAGGGGGCTGGAGCGAAGCTGGGGAGTGCCCCCCCATCACTAGATGCAGGGGAGCCGCACTGCCGGCTCCAAAAAGCACCAGGGGCTGAGTCAGTCCTTGCTGGAAGGGCAAGCTGAAGCAGCCCATGTGGGACACTTCACAAAGGGTCCTGCTGCCTCCCCAGGTAACATGCAAGCAGGAGGGCAGACTGTCACAGGGAGCACTGAGGGACACGGCATCACCACTTGGGCTGCCTTTACTCTGCAGGGGGCAGAGGGATGCACCACCGGCACACCCCTGGGGCAGAGAAGCAGGGACTGTCCCTGCTGCAGCTAATCCCAGCCCTATTTTGAAAACGCATCTGCCTTGATCACTTCAGAGCCCCACCAGCCTTCCTCCCCCGCCCCGGGCTGCCTTCCTCTCCTCTCCCTCCAGACAGCACACGCTGAGCTTGCTCACTCTCATCCCGCTCCTCACCCCAGGACACAGCCACCAAGCTGATCATAGAACAAAGTTTACTCCCAACAAAGCACCCCCCGAGGGACCACAGCTGGTGACGTACCATTGAAAACCCTGAGATATACAAAGGGGAGGCATAAACAAATGCCCGAGCCCGCAGCTCTTATCAGGGTAACTGCCTCTGTACCTGTGGGAATGGAGGGTCTCACCTAAGCAGGGCCAGCACCTCAGGTCTGCTCCTGGAGGTGCCAGGGCTCAGCACAGGAGGGCAGGGCTGGCTGCTGATCAAG